GAGTTTCTAGAAGGATCATGAAGGCCCGAGTGCATTCTAGATGCCCTCTTTTTTATTATATAAGCCCGGCAAATAAAGCGAGATATTAATTGCAGATAGACAGATATAGAGATAGATAATTGAGTCAAGGGAGCGGTAGTGACCATAAGTAAAGTGCTTGAATCGTTGTGAATTATAGCATGTGTTTAAGTTAAAGTGACTGTGAAAATTCTGTGTATTGCAAAATTGTATCAAGAAAGAATAAACTAGTTTTATTTAAGAAAGGACTTGCATTGCTGAAGTTCCTCGGGAAGAATTTATACCGGAAATTAACAAACGACCAGAGATGCAACAATATATATAAAAATGTAGGGGTGAAATTTGTATACAGTGCACATTAGGAAGGAGGTCAGGCCAAAATTGTTAGGAACCACTGATATGGTACATACTTAAAGAAATAGAGCTATAGCTAATGAAATGGAATACTGTACTTTTCTCTTATTTATGTATACCACAATCTACTAGCGAAACCACAGCCAAGGGAACTGGCTTGGAAAAATCCATATTTCATCTTCTTTCCCCGCTGATTTTTCCAAGCTCGTTCCCTTGGCTGTGGTTTCGCTAGATAGTAGATAGGGACAGTGGGAATCTCGTTAATCCATTCATGCGCGTCACTAATTAGATGACGAGGCATTTGGCTACCTTAAGAGAGTCATAGCGGATTTTTCCAAGCACGTTCCCTTGGCTGTGGTTTCGCTAGATAGTAGATAGGGACAGTGACCTTTATGGCCTTTTTTTTTCTCATCTTACAAAATTCAGTTTGCATGTAGCTTTTAATATTTAGGTAGACTTTGTAATCAATACCTATTTACTTTTGGAAAGCAAATTCGTTATATACTACAATGAATCTTAATCCTTCACATAAACTACTACAAGCAAAATTTGACCACAAAATCTTTCTGCCAACAATTTTTATCTATGTGATCAAATCATTCAACTATATATGCATCTAAAAATATGTTTATTTTTGTTAAGTAATACAGTATATCAAGGTTTATTTTCTTATTCTAACTACTTCAGTAACCACTTATACAACTGCATTATACATAAAAACTTCTGCTTACCTAAACTACTGGTTTGACATTACACTTGTTGCTGTTAGTGTTAAATTTCAAATTAGCATTTATACATCTGTTTCACAATAGGGTTTTTCTATCCATCTCAACCACTCCATTCAAGTTGCAGTTATAAATTCTTTACATAACATTTAGCACCAACATAATCATTGTCAAAAAAAAACTGTTTTACTTTTTACTTTCTGAGATTATGGCCAACATTTCATCAACATGGAAGTTACCTAACTGGTTGCTATAATCATTACTGGAACTGGATTTTCTAGTGCTCTGATTAAGTTTTTTAGTGATTTTGTTATACAGGACTGTCTTTGTTAATGTACTTTTTACTTTTAAAGTATTTAAATTCTGTTTTATATAGTTAGCTTATATAGTTAAAGTAAGTTAATAATTAGTTATAGCTGCTATTATATTAGTAAGTACAATGTTAAGTACATTATGTTACAGCCATTTTAAACATGTTAATTAGCAAGTCACATGACAACCACAGCTGATATAAAATTGCAATGGAATGGCATGTATAAGTATTAAATTTTGACATTGTTTGGCATTTTGTAGTAGTGTGATGCCACCAAAAAACTGATTGCTTCTGGAAAAGGTATTTAACAATCCTATCTGGTGCAAAATATTCACACACACAGATCATAAAGATGTGTTCAGATTGGGGATTTAGAACTTCCAAGACAGGAATATCACTTGTACTTAATAATGGCAGTGGAAAACAAAGGAATATGGATCAACTTTGGACACTAGGACCATCTAGAAAGAAACCTGTATCAAGTAATACCCCAGAGGGTTAAGCAATGTGTAGAATCTTGTAACAGATGAGAATCCATAAACACAAAGATCAATGGATAATGCCATCAAAATGCCACATGAAACAGTAAGCAACATAATCAAGAAGGATCTCAACCTGGAAAAGCAACACAAGCCATGCATATACAACTATCTCTGCTAAATATCCATTTAACCATTGTATACCTAAAATAACTGGGGAATTAAATGAGCATTTATGTTATTCCATACACAGACATACCAGTCAAGTTGCTGGATGTAGCAACTATGGATTTCTGTGCAATAAGACTATTCAAAAGGGTGCTAGAAAACTTTCATCCTCATACAACCTGGATTATGGAATACATGCAGGGAAAAGTTGTGTAGTTTGGCCAAGCCAGACTTATGGCAGAGCCTTTTCGAAAGGGAACTACGCTATTGTCAAGATGCAGGGTAATCATATAGAACCTTACATGATGTGGCAATAATGACTGTAACAACATTGTGAGGCTTCAAAATTGTTGTAATATAATGTATTAAACTTATGGATTATGATGAAATGTTATTTTTACTTATTTTTAGCGGGTCCATTTACTCATATTTCTTCTCTGTTTTTTTATTATTATTACTTGCAGATGATTATATTTGTTTTTACGAGTGTCACTGAAGCTATTCCAAAACCAACCAACATTTAATTAACATTTTTTTAAACAATCACTAGATTTTCTTATTTCTTTCATGCATTTGAATTATTTTTTTTTTCATGAGCAGAACTATGTTTTTTCTTAGTTGCGACAGAACTAATATTAATATATCTTTTAGTAAGAGATATGTCCAAGATCCAATCAGGGTAATGACAATTATGGATCACCTTTTACAACAAATGCTAAACCAGGAAAGTATGGTACTTTTTCATGCAGCAAGAACCAAGTGCATTAATGACTTACCTGTACTCTTCTTGTCCTGCTGTATCTAATATATCCAGAAGACATGTCTCCCCATCAATAACTACTTGCTTCCTATATGAATCCTCTACAAAGCAAAAGGAAGATTTGAATTTCACTAAAATTATGCAAGTAAATAATTCTTTCATGTGAAGCACTTTAAGAGATCTAAAATTGTGTTCACATTGTATGAATGAAAGTTTGAACAGTAATGTCTTTCCTACTACTGTTTCATTTGGATAGTTTCAACTTTTATTACCCAAATTAGTAGTTTGATAACTGAAAAAGTTGTGACAAAGATGTTCATCCTTTCAGTATTCTAGATAAATATCTTACTAGTGAACATATAGTGATTTTGTTATCGTACTGAACCTGGTGCAGGTAACGATATATTGATTTTTTTATCTTATTGAAACTGGGTCAATTTATGTATCTCACTAGTGAATATATACTGATTATCTTACTGAATCCAGATACTGCTGATAATGTAGTGATTTTGTGTAAGATAAGACTATTTATTACTTATAATCATAACTGGATTTTATCAATGACTTGTATACTTACCTGAAAATGTTGAACACATGCCATAACATAATGTATACCCAGAGTTTACAACATGAATAAAAATTACAGTTCATATTTTATTATGCTTGAATACCATAAACCAAAACATTACTTCCAATTTTACTGTTAACCAAATGAAGGAAGGATTTGTTTTATATGAAAACTGTTATACGAGAAAAATTCTTTATGAAAATAACCAAATTTTTTTTCAGCTTACAAATTTGTGAAAAGCTTAAACAATATTTAGTTGTTACAAAACCAAAATATTTAATGGAGCAGTTCTTTATGCAAATTCATAAAGAACAGTAAAAACACATCATTATAATAATGTATAAATTATTAAAGAATAAACAAAACATGAAAACCTGACTGGTTTTGACAAGCCTATCTCGTTCTCAAAGGATGGAGTAAAACTGTTATCAGCATCTTGTACGTTCAGGTTCAAAACATCTCAGAAGAATCAAAATTTACTATTTGTTTTGTCTATTATTAACCATAAAGCTACAGAATGGATTATCTGTACTATGCCCACTATAGGTATGAAATTCTGAATTTTGGCATTATAAACCCTCAGACTTACTGCTGAGCTGCCAGAGTGCAAGATTTTACTACTGATAGTAGAGTGCAAAACTAACTGAAAAAACAAAGGACTTACAAATAGGGTGGAGTTCAAATCGCAAGTTATTATTGAGCATGTTTTCTCTATTTTTAAATTCTCATGTTGTCATAATAGAAGAATTTTGGTTTAAAAAGTTTTAAATGATTGAAATTAACTTTGAGGGTTGGTTTTGTGAACATGCAACACAAAAACCAATGTATCAACTTTCTTCTGGCAACAGTAGCCTTTATGTCCCTTTTCTCTAATTGAAAGAGACTTTTTTTTACCAATAGAAACACCATTATAAGAACTAGAAATAAAATAAATATCCAGTTTTTGGTGGGCTTCTATATTATCTTTCTCTTCACAAAATGTATTTAAAAGTTTCTTCACTGGTTTATAGCCTGGCTCAGTTTTAGTTCATTTAAAAATAGCACTTACTTTATTTGATATCAAGGGGTCGGTAGTATGGTATCGTAATATAAGGGTCATCCCTTGATCTATCTGCAGTTACTTGATTCACTTTGGTATTAAACTATTTAATTCTGTTGAATAAATTATCTATTAAGTTTGGTTTTAATCCTCAGGAAACAGCAACATATATGAAGTAATTCAATATATCATGATTACTCCTTTTGTTGGAACAAATGTTCAGGATACACCAAGTACAAATTTTTGTATATGATGATCTTTTGAGAATAAGAATGCCTAGATTTATTGTGAAGAAATAAGCTCACATTTTCTGATTTCTGACAGATGTCTGTGCAAAACTTGCCACCTGGGCATCATGAACTAAAACACTGAAAAACAGTATCTGATCATTATAATTCATAAATGAATTGTACGCCTAGTTGAACTGAGTTAAATTTCTTATGAAACTGTAAAATGTAGTTGTTATCATAAAGAAAGAAGGTGAATGTGTTGTTAACACGTCGTACACAAAGATGAAGTTTCACATCCAATTCGTTGAAGAATTTATCCTCAAAGTCATGCATGAAGAAGAGGGTTCAGTGCACTATCCATGTTATAGGTATGATTTTGTTGAAAGAAATCCATAAGGAACTAGAACTACGAGTTGCTCACACATATTCTGACAATAGGTATGGTTGAAGAATTATCCTCAAAGTCATGCATGAAGAAGAGGGTTCAGTGCACTATCCATGTTATAGGTATGATTTTGTTGAAAGAAATCCATAAGGAACTAGAACTATGAGTTGCTCACATGTATTCTGACAATAGGTATGGAACTTTGGTGAATAATCTTTTCATGTCAAAGAAAACCCATACAGTATATTTTTACAGTATATTTATTGATCCACAAGTGATAATCTGTTTTCTAAATATCTGGCCAAAGGATTGCCACCTATAATCAGTCTAGAGGACTGTTTGTTCAGTTTGGGAAGTGCATAATGTTTGGAAGAAATAACATTAGAAGGAATAAGGTTTAGTTTCTCTATTAAATATTTAGCTTTCTTGATTTCAGAACCGAGTTACATTTAAATGAATTTAGTTGTGTCAGATTTCATCACATAACAGATTATCGGCACCATCACCGAACTGTTTTTGTTTAAAATTACAATTTTGCCACCTTTAGTTATAATTTTGATCAATCTGATTTGATTAGATTATGGTTAGGAACCAGATTTGTTTTAAAATGTTTCAGACCTCAAACCTAATTGTAATTTGGTTAACGGTACTTAAATTATGCCCCTTCTCCAAGTTCAGTAATGATTTCTTCATTTTCGACTTAAAGTAGAAAATTCCACCTAAACATGATACATTAAGTTAGTCCTCTGGTAAGTGGTGATCAGATATATTAATAACATAATATTTACAATTAGAGGGATAAACAGGGACTCCTAGCATCTACATATGACTAGGGGAATAAACAGGGGGTCCTTAGTATTTATATTACTGCTTTGTATAAGTGAGAATGGTTTGTTTTCAAGTCTTTTACCAGCTTGTTACATATATAGTCTATGGGAATTTTACATTTTTATAATTCTTTAGTCATTTGTACATTATTATGCTGATGTGTTACTGCTGATTTTTTAAAAGCCAAAGTATAATTTATTTTCATCTAACAAATTTTAATATAAATCATTTACTCAAGCACACACACAAAATAATATTGGGTATTTTTTATCTACTTTTAATCCAAGTAATCCAACAAACTTAGGAAGTACAATAAAAATTAAAAGAAAAGTTTACCTTACCTATTGTTGGATCATACTCATCAACAAAGCTGTAAAAACAAATCAAGAAAATTAAAAACAAAAATACCAATATTCCCATGTGTTAAATTTCAACTTACATTTTAATAAAGTTACTTCAATTTTTTAGAGCAATTAAAAAAAGTTAAAAGGAACATGATTATTTAGAAATCCACTAATTTTAAATGTACTGCATGGTAATTGTTCACTTATATGCATGTTTATGAGGCAGTTAAAACACTACCCTTCTTTCAACCCTCGCTGCAAAAAAATGTATCAACAGGTGCCTTATTCTGTAACCTTGACCTACAATATCAGTCATCCACATCTTAACCTGTAAAGCATTAAATATAATGCATAGGTTCCTTTGTACCAAGGTAAAGCACAATGAAACCTAAACCTTGTGCCACACAGTGATTCAAAATGAAATAGAGTCTCTGTTATCCCTTCGAAGTAAACACCACTGAGGCTTTATGTGATATACAAGATACATCTATGGCTTTATGTGATGTTAATATTTTTCTTATACTTAAAATGTATTTCTAATAGGTACTTATCCCCTTTCACAAAAAGCTATCTTGATGTTCATCTGCTCTCTAAGCATTTTAAGTTTTTGAGATCAGTGCACTAGTCTATATACTCCATCAATTTCACACCCTTTCTGAATATGTACATATCATGTGACTACTCTCCACCAATAGTAATGTACCACCTATACTGGCACAGTTAGCTCCCTCTGTTTTCCTGCTCAATCCTCACTTTTGAGAATTGGTAGGCTCCAAAGGGAGAACATCAGCAGTGGAAAGGAAGGGTGGAAAGTGTGTGATAGGAGGTAAGTACGTATCGGAAATACATTTTCAGTGTAAGAAAATGTTAACTCCAGATACAGTCTTACCTCCACTTACACAAAGTTAGAATCCCACATTGAAAAGGTGGAGGGGCCAGTGTAAGCACACATGTATCAAACCAAGCAGAAAGCAACTACCCAGAATGAACAGCTGCACTCAGAGATGAAAATGAAGCATGCGTGGAGTACTGCCCTACTTCTGGAATAGGTATACTCTTCGTCCAGGAAATTGGAAATTAATCCCAAATGGGTGGAAAAGAAAAATACCTGCACAAGCATAATATGTTTGAGAGGTACAAGCTGTAGCAATATATAAACAGATTTAGCTAGGTGTATACCCAACCTCAACTGGACAGGCAAGGTTCCATAACTTATCCTCAGCATTAGGAGGTTAAGGATGAAAAAAATTTCTTAACATTGTTGTGGCTAGGGTATGTGGACCATGTTATGAATATACCCATCAACCCCAACCATAAGTAAGCAGAGTGCCATACGTCAAGCAACTGGAATTACAAAGAGGAAGTGAGTATTTAGCTTTTGATTGAAACTGGACAAACTCCCAAAACAACCTTACGAGCAAGAAATACGACAAACCGAACTCAGCAATAAGGGGTCATGGTGTAGCCTGATCTGAACATACGAACAAGATAATAGCTGTAACTGGTATTAAAGGCAAAATCATAATTCACCCTACCATAAATGCAGGGAAGAGATGTCCTTTATTTGGAAATACAAGGAGGACATGGAATAATTGCCCAACCGTAGGAACATAGTGGGTACATCTTGTTGCCGGTATTACAAAAAAGGTGAAGTCCCCCAAACTCAACTGTAGAAGCATAGAAAGAACCTCCTGCAACTGAAATTAATGAGAAGAGAGACATGTATTGCATACAACCATAGGAACAGGGCATTGTCATTCTGAACCTGGCATTACAAAGAGGATTCCATGTAAGCCAGACCCCCTCCAACTGACATTTGTCAACCTGGGAAAATGCATCCAGGGGAAATGGAAGTAGGGAAATCAGCTTTGCCTTCTTCTCACTGAGTGGAATCCCACTATCAGCAGTTGAAACTAGGGTTTCTGAAATAAAAACATAAATGAAATGAAGTGATAAGACTTACCCCAGTCAAAGGTGCACTGACGTGTAGAATCACCACAGGAGGGATATGATATCCTCAAGAACAATATACAGCCAGGTCATGCAGGTAATGAGTGATGAAGGTATTGGTAGTGGTCCACATTCCGGCCTGAAAAATCTCTTCCAAAGGAAGCTGAAATTGTGCAACCAAGGACGTAGTGATGTAATGAATCTGATGAGACGAAAATGGAAACCTTCCATGGATGTGTCCAAATACACCAGCCTAATGAGTTCAGTAAGCATGGCAGGGGCCAGATCATGAGAAACAGAATGGTTCCAGGGAATAAAAGGTCGGGAATTGAACCCCGGAAGGAGGCAGTATATTTCACATATCACCTTAAGGAGTGAACTGGACAAAAAAGTCAGTCAGGATTAGAATGGCAGTACCTTGGGAAATGGAAGATAAGGAAATAGGTGGGAAAACCATACCACCTAAACTGGTAGCATAGGTCTTAGGGAGGAAGGACCAGTCGGGATAGAGGATGACATAGGAGGAATGGTAAAGGATGCAGTTAACATTAATGGCATAAATATCTGAACAACGATGAGCACAAGCAAGAAGGATAAGGAAATAGGTAGATGGAACATGAAGATAGAAGTTGAAGTGGAGGATGAGATAGGGCAATAAGGATCACACTGAGGTCCCAATAGGCAATTCAAAGGAACCAAAAAGGAGGGAAAGGATAGGGGATGACAAAACCAGATAAAACCTGGAGAAATGGAAGGAGGTTAACAAGGCTGCCCGATAGCTAGACGCAGGTGAAGTGGACAAGCCTTTGTCAAACAACTTTGCAAAGAATAGGAAAAGATGAGGAAAGGAAGGGTGGGAAGGACAGAAACCATGGCAAAGAGACCAAGGCCAGAAGGTATACTATCCTCTATGGAAAGTAGACATTGAAGGTCTAATGAATCAGGAAAGGAAAGAAGCAACACATGGAGTCAATCCCTGGGCTGAGACAATGGACCTGACAAAAGAACAATAAATAACTATCAACAAAGGATCATGAAGATAGGAAAAGGAACCAAATTCAAGCCAAGCAAATTAGGATGGTAAGGCACATAGTTAACATTAAAGAAAAAAAAAATTATTCAGAAAGAACAATGAATTATATATTACTAGTAGTAATGATATGTAAGGGACAAATTATCTAAACATACCTAATTAACAAAGTACGTATAAATATGAAACAGACAAGCCATCTAAATGTACCTAATCCACAAAGTATGTAATAATAACGAACATGCAAATTAACGAAAATTACCTAGAAAACACATTAATAATCAATGTCTAACTCACAGTTCCTCTAAATTAACCTAGACGACAAAGGACACTTAATTAAATCCCACGTTGACGAAAATGGGGATGACAAGGCATATAGTTAACAATGACAAAAAAAATTACTCAAATAGAACAAATTAGATGTTACTAGTAAAAATGACATGTAACTGACACACAATCTAAACATACCTAAGTAGATTTCTTATTAACCCTATTGCCACGAGTATCCTTTACTATGCATGACACAGGGTTTTAGTGTCTTGCATTTAAAATTTTATCAAACCACTTTTTGTTTATGTTATACCAATTAGAATAGCATAAAATCTTAGATAATAATCCATATTTTCATAGTATACAAGTTTTGAGTTCTTAATTCAACAAGGCAATATAAAAAAACATTCTAAATTTCCACTAGTGTGACCCAAGTGACACATTTTCTCTTAGCATGTCATCATCTCGATTTTATCCACCACCCCTCAAAAAAGTATGAAATTAAACAAATTACTCTCTATGAAATTGTTTTGCTCAGACGAACCATAATTTTTGTACCCTTCAATTTTGTTTGGTTACAGAGCAATCCAATAGAAAATCAGACCCCCTCCTGCCACATCCTCTCTTTCAGAATTTGTTGATAGTTCTCTCTTATGCTTCATTATATATTACCTACAACCAATAGAAAGTCAAGGTTTTCATCTATCAAATGATGTAATGTATATGTTATGTTCTGACCAGTTAGAAGTCAATTTCACTCAGAGTACCAACATCATTCCTGTGGGAAAGTTAATGACTAGCTTGGATGAACTTGTAACAGCTCGTCACACAGTTAGAAAGTCAGAAAAATTTTGAGAGCCAAGGGAATTTGTCTACTTTTCGAAAGTTATTAGTCTATATTGTTTGGTGCATTATTTAATTAAATAAAAATTAAGTGCATTACTATCATTAGTATAAAAAATTAGGATTAACTCTCTTTGAAAACTGACAGCAAGAAAAAGAATATTGGTTAAGTATTTTATTTCTTAGTGTTTTTCATGTTTATTCTTTAAATATAATTATAAAAGTAACTAAAATGTAAAAATAGGGATCCTTTTAGGTTAGTTAAGATTAGATTTGGTAAAATAAAGAATAATAATAATATTATAATAAAAATGTTTCACAAGGCACACATGCGAGCAGCTTGTGGGTAATGTAATTCGTTAGCGTAACGTGAACTGCACGCTTCCCAAGTGATTTAAAACTTATAATGGTGCAGATAGTAGTTAAGACATGGCTCAAAGGGCAATAAAAGAATAAAATATAATTATAAATAGATGTATACTGTTATGTATACTGGATAAGCGAATATAGTTTCATGTTACAATTTGAAGTCATTCTAGAAAGAAAAAATGGGTAATTTAGGTTTATGTTGATTTTTTTTGTGGTGGTTAAAAGGTCGGTCGAATTGACTTATTCTGTTTTGAGATATGGTAGAGAAAATAACAGATAAGCTATAAAGTTTTACTGGAAAAAAAACGTTTAAAATGCATTTAGGAGGTTTTGGGGATTACAGAAAGGAAGTGTGAGATTTTTGACATGAGGAAAAGTATTTTTAATTTTAACATGAAAATTACTTTGCAATGGACTATTCAAAACAAATACTCAATATATTCATGGACAAATCTTTATTTTATTTTATTAAAATTACATCATTAAAAATACAAGTTTTTGTATGTGAAAGAGTTATAATATTAACTGAAAAACTTCTAAATTTTGTGAAGATATACACACTATATTGAAAGTTAGAAGTATTAAATCTATAAAGATTTTAAACGAGTACAAAGAGATCATGTGTTCAGTCAAATTTATGGAGCCCATGTTGAGAGAGTTAATAGCAAACTAACAAAACCATGAAATTTGCCGAGTCTACAAAGTATGTAGTATTAACAAATGTGCAAAATGATTAAACTTATCAAAAAAACTAAGTAATAATCAATATCTAAGTTACAATTCATCTAAAGTAACTTAGATGACATAAATATCAAACTTACCAAAGTCCAAGCACTGATGACATGAAATATGTAATTCTCCTATGTGTAAATAAGAGTAAAGCCACAAAGAGGGCATCTGAACCAGGCCTACCACAGTTATATCAACCCAGTGTGAAGTGTACATGTCGACAAACTTACCACAGGTCCCCTGGAAAAACTGGATGCAACAGGAATAAACGAGGAAATGAACAATTCTCGACCAAAGTGAATGATGAGGTGGCATGGTAACTTGTGGAAGGTGCCAGAAAAAGAGTCTAAAGAGTCTACTCATTGATTGTATTCTTCCTCAGAAACATTGTCATGTTGATAAGAAGAAGAAATTGCTGGTCGAACATACAAATGGAGCTCCCTGGGAATTAAGAACTGTACCTTCCCTGCAGATAAAGTCAAACCCAATTCCTGGTAGATCGTACCAGTAGCATTTTCAATTGTAACGGGAATTTCTGAAGTCTATACATTGATCACAAATTTATACTATAATCTCTTGTAAATCTGTAACAAGAAATAAATGCAAAAAAAATTTAAATGTCAAAGAAGCACATTCATAAACAGAAGCCTAAATTGAAAAAACACACGTCTAAACATATGCTGTGCCAATAGAGAAAGTGAGGATTGAGCAGGGAGCTAGATGTGACAGTATAGGTGGCACAATACTATTGGTAGAGAGCAGTCACATAATATGTACATGTTCAAAAAGGGTGCAAAGTTGATAGGGAACATAGACTGGTGAACTGATTGTAAAATTTGTTTTGCAAAGCTAAGAGGGCAGACAAACATTGCGATAGCTTTATGTGAAAAGAGGTAAGACTGTATCAGAAATATGAGGTACATCTAGGGCTTTGTGTGATTTATGAGGTACATCTATAGCTTTATGTGATATATGAGGTACATCTGCAGTTTCATGTGATACATAACAGGGTTCTATTTAACCCAAACTCCCAGTTACTGTACACACAAGAATTTGTTGGGATGTATGAGATTTGACCCCCCAGGTGCCGATTACGCACTGCAAAACACCTCACATGCAAGGCAAGCACAAGTACTTTGTTTTGAACTTTGTACCATATCGAATTAAACAGCATACAGTTTGCATACAGGTGTCCACCATTAACTTCTAACAAGTTTCATCAATGACAATAAATTACACAAAAATAAAGCCACTCAAAAGTACCATATGATTAACCCATTCACCTCAAGTAGGTCAAAGTACACATGTTACAACCTTTCACAGAGTTAGATTCAAAATTTAATACATATGAATAAACTCAGCATCAGAATATAGATAATAAATAAAATTTTAGTATTATTTAAGTTTTAAGTTCTTAATTTTATTAGGAAATTTAAAAAAAAATCTCAATCTCCCCTATTATGAGAACTGTGATGTCCATTATCTATGTCTTCCCTATTCTCTACTTTTTACCACCCCTCCAAGGAGTATGAAGTTTAATGCAAATTAATCATTATAACGTTTTTATCACAATGGCAAAGCATAATTTTACATAGCCTTCAATCTTACTTAGTTACAGAGCAATAGAATAGAAAATAAGACCCCTCTTGCTACACTCAACTGTCACATCCTCTCCTTCAAAACTTGCCAATAGTTCTCCAAGTCATTTAAGACTATATTAATTATAACCAATAGAAAGCCAAAGTTTTCTCTATCAAATGACATAATATATTACATTGTTTTCTGTACAAAAAATATTCTTCATTTTCCTTCCAGTTCAAACTTTATTTCAACAGGAAACACATCGACAAGCTTAGATGAGTTTTTAATGGCTTTTGTCACCCAGTTAGAAAGCTAGAAAAATTGTGATAGTTATGGAACATTGTTTCCTTTTTGCATGTTATTATTCTGTGTTCTTTGGTGCATTATTTAATTAAATAAAAATTATTTAATGCAGTAGTACCATTAGTATAAAAAAGTAGAGTTAAGTTTCATCAACAGTTGACAGCAAAAAAAGGAAGACTCAAAAAGTACCTTATTTCTTGTTTTTCATGTGTATTCTTCATTTACTATTATAAAAGTTCCTAAAATGTAAATATTCAAAACTTTTTAGTTTAAATAAAGTAAAATAAATAACAATAACTTTTTATGAGTTATGCTCACGAGTAGTCTATGTGTTGTGCAATTCAATACTGCAATGTGAGCTGCACATTCCTCACGTGATTTACAATATATATAGTGCAAATATTAGTTAGATATTGTTCAAAGGGCAATAAAACAATAAAATTTAAGTATAAATACATATAGAGTTAAATATAATCCCCCATAAGCAATATAAAATCTTGTCTTATATAACAGTATTTTAATATTCCTTGATTGATGCACGTATTTTAGAGACGAATAACATCAAATCACAAGGTAGTTTTAATTTTAAAATCTTCAAGGTGTTTCTTTATTTTCTGCTTAAAAATAATTTGTAAGATATCAAAGTTTAGTAGTTGGTAAACAAGCAGGTTCTTACAATAATGTGTTTATAAACAGGAAATTGAAGCAAAACAAATCATAAAGGAAAACAAGAAATCAAATAATCACTTTTAAGTACTGATACTTTAAAAATTGAAGAAATTTTCATGTTTATTGGAAAAGCTGTTTATTTTATACTCTTGCATATTGTCCTACCTTAGCACTTGTAACATGTAAGCAACATGTAATGTACATTATAAATAAGTTTTTTGTTGAGCACAAAAATGCACCTTACTTTTTTCATTGAACATTTACATACTCTTTTCAACTTGCAGAAGGTAAACATGTGGTGTACATTGTATATAGTTTTTCATTAACACTGAAGTGCTTTTTTCTTTCTTTTTTTGAGTTTATTCAATTATACCTATAGGACCCTTGAAAATTAGGGTCAATACTGCAATGTGAGCTGCATGTTCCCCACGTGATTTACAATTTATGTAGTGCAAATATTAGTTAGATACATTTATTTAATGCAGTAGTACCATTAGTATAAAAAAGTATGGTAAAGTTTCATCAACAGTTCACAGCAAAAAAAAAGAAAACTCAAGAAAGTACCTTATTTCTTGTTTTTAATGTGTATTCTTTCTTATTCTTAAAAGAAAGCCACTGAAGTGTCAAGACTGGGAGATTTGTTGAGTTGGCAAAGTTAGAATTAGTTTGGGATTCCTGAAAATCTTACTGGGAATCGTAATTAAAAGAAAAAACTTGGCTTTATGCAATATATGAGGCACATTATGGCTTTATGTGATATAGGAGGTACATCATGGTTTTATGTGATATAGGAGGTACATCTATGAATTCATGTGATAAACAAGATACATATACATCTAGGGCTGCTTAAACACATAAGCAATGTGCATTTACACTTTGCAGCATAATTTTTATTATTTGAATTGAGTGGATAAAAACCTAATACCCTTCCAAGAAAGTGTAGAAAAGATACTCACTGGTTCTGTATAAGTTGGATTGTCAAGGCACTTTTACCGACACCTCCAGCTGTAATGTAGCAAAAGCAACAAAATATGATTTAGTTTTAACTAAATATGTAACAAAGTAAAAAACATCAAAGAAGTTGCTTCTGTCATTCTGGAAAAATTCAATTTACACTAAAATTTCAATTTGGTGTCTTTGAATAATTCAACTGTAAAGTAACAAAACATAATTCAGTTTGGAAATTCAGCTGTAAAGTAAGAAAAGGCTGGAAGCTACTGAAGTGTCAAGATTGGGAGATTTGTTGAGTTGGCAAAGTTAGAACCTCCAATCATTGGTGTAATCCCAGTTTAAAGTTAGGCAGAGAAATCTAAAAGGCTGTTGAAGTTTGAAAGATTTAATACCTAAAAATTATTTAAACTACAACTTTGAAATGTCTGAAGCCTCACATCTCCCACCAAGGTGCATTCATATGCTTAAATCCATGTATTTTAATCTGAATTTTGTGAGCTATGTATATTGCAACTGAAGGCTAAAAGCACAAGCTTGATGTGAGATGTTGTAGAAAATTATACTGTAAGCTGTCAAGTATTATATACTATATATAATTATAAATATAACATTAGAAAAATAAAATTGGGAAAGAAGCTACAAGAAGTCAGGGATATAAAGGACTCACACGTCTGGTTTGACTTCTCCACTCCACAAAATGTAATTTGCAATATAAAATTGAAACAAGAAACAGAATCTGATAACATAAAACAGTCTTACTTTAAACATAAAAGACTCAGCTTAATAGTAATACAGAAAGAAATGAACTACATTAATATCATTAACCCCAATATCAAGTAATACAGAAACAAATGAACTGCTTTAATAGCACTAATCCCAATATCAAGAAAGACTTCAGTGAATGTTATCGACATTTATATTTTGTATTACATTAAAATATTTCTGACACAGATATGTTTAAATTTGTGGAATGGTTTATCTAATGATGTGGTTGTGCTGTGGGTTTGAATTCCTTCAATCTCTGACAGATACTTGTATACAGATGTCAAATGAAGTACACTAATTAGTAGTAGAAGATTTTATTATTTTTGATTAGTTTTCCCTTGCAGGAATGAATGGCTTTCTGCCATATTGACATTTTTTAGGTTTTATGAGAGTACCATGGTTTCAAAAATCTACAGACAATACCACAAACACTCGGCTATTTTAACAGGATACATTGTTTTCATAAGTCTTATTAAACACAGTACAAGTTACAATAAATGTTTTGTTTTCTTCATCTACTATTTTAATTGGAAGCAACTAACCCATAACAAATTTAGTAACATGACTTGTGTGCACGGGTTCTTTCAATCATGTCTTGGATGTTTCCAAAATAAAGATTTTTTTTAATGTTCTTAAGTCAGGCTGCAGTCTTAAGTTAAGCTAATGCCTTCATTTAACTTACTAGCATTTGTGTTTAATTTTTCTAAATATAATAATCAATTATTTTTCTAATATAGAAATAAAACAAATAATTAAAAAATGTTCTGGTGTTTCATTATGTTCATCTTCATGAATCCACAATGTTTTCACAGCACCATAAAACAGTTTTATAAAACTGACACAGCAATTACTGAACAAATAAAAAGTTGTTTCCTTGGAATACTTTGTAAATTGTATTTCTATAACATTCACAACTTCCTATTGTGAATTACATCCACTCAAATCCAAACCATTTATGTTTTTCTAATTAAAACTTTACTGAAATATGTTAATTTATGAATACAGTATTCTATGGCATTCATGCAAGAACTTGAGAACCATCTTTAGGCTTATGGCTATGGCAATATTAAAATTGTAAAGCTTAATATATGGATTCCATTCCAACCATTTTAGAATTACAGTATGCATGCAAATATAAACCCAACAGAATGCCACACAAGTTACAGCTTTTTAAGCAAATTGCATTAACTATCACATAAAATAATTATAAAAAGATACTATCAAGAAGCAATAGTATTTTTTTTGTCAGATTAAACTAAATCATCTTAAAAATTTAAAGTAACTGATCATTTTAAAGGCATTAGATACTAATGGTATAGACTTATGATAATATTTGTGCCATTACGACATCACAAAAATAAATTTATTAAATAAAACGACTGTTTCTAGAGTTAACACATTTATTGTTCTATTACTTGTCATGATTACTGAAGTCTTTCTGGATATGATGAAGGAGAAGAACCAAACTCTCCATATTAGTTTTTTTTCTGTAAGAAAGTATAAGGCCTCAACTTTCCATGTTAATTTTTAACTTGTAACATATCAGTAAAGATTAAGTAGCATTAGAAGGTAAATAAATGGCACTGTAAGTTTAAAATCCAAGTAATTTATTCATAAGAAGTATATGTTGTGTGGTGGTTATGTAGTTCCTCTGCCATTTTTGATTTGAATTTCCATTGTTATAAATTGAAAAATTAAAACAAAAAAGTTATTATAAAATTTCAATTTTGAATACATTTTCCTTCCCATATTTATATAAGTTAACTACACTGGTAAAAAATTAACATGGGCAACTGAGGCCTTTTTCAACATAACCACCTTTCTTAAGTTAAACAGAAACAAAGTAGACTGAAAAGTTAGAAAACAACAATCAAATAGAAAGGTGGGCTTTAAGTTTGTTTATGTTAAGCTATGACCATTCACTTCTAAATATATCCTTAAGAGCTATA